AAGATTTATTGCCAATTCACCACTGGGATAAAGGTGCTGCATCCAGGGACATTTTTCTACATTGTTTAAAATCAATCTCACCCTTTCCTAAATAAAAACAAAGTAGAACAGCTTCTCAGACAGAATTTCTGAACAAAGCTGAGCAAACCTGCAGACAAATGGAGGGGAAAAAATTATATAAGGAGGGAAGGGAAGTTATGCTAGCAAGATTTACCGAGGTGGGGGTAGGGGTGGGGAGCATAAAGGATATTTTGTTCTTTCAGAGTTTCCAGAATGCTGTTCGGGGCCTATTGCAGATACTCATCCGATCAAGTAGCCACTGAAAGCCCACTCTCCCATGAATGTGTTCCATCTCCTTTGGCCAACCTTGCCTGGACTCAGAAGCCAAGTAAGATCAGACCTGATTTGCACTCGGATGGGAGACACTAGGAAATCCCAAGAGGCTCTAGGCTAGACTGGGAAGGAAGCAGTGGCAAACCCTGTCCATATTGTTGCCAGGAAAGCTACATGGATGGGTCCATAAAATCACCAGAAGCTAGATTAGGAAGTTGAAAAACATCCTGAAGAAGACAGTGGTGACCCTCTTCCTCGCTCTTGACAAGAAAGCTGCATAGACATGCCCATGAAATCACCAGAAGTTCAGTTCAACTCAAGGGCCCTTGATGCTTTTACTATAATTGTAAAATATTATTTGTCCCTACCCCAGTATGTTCCTCTTCCATGTCATCCCTTCTTCACTTTCATTCCATGCTATAAAATGCCAGAAGCTGTAAGTCTTACCTTACAGGGGAGCCTGCTTTAGCTCTTGAACTTTAGGATGTCCTTTTTTTTCAATACTTGGATGGGATCAGCTGGAGGGAAAAGGTTATGTGTTAAGGCTGAGCTTAACTGACCGCTGTCCTGAAAGGGTTAAGAGGCCCCAAGGTAGGTCAGGCTCAACAGGATCTGGTCCAGCATTCCATTCCCATCATGAGGCAGATGTTTTCAGGAAGCTACGTGCTGGGAATGAAAGAAAAGACTGTGTCTACTGTGAGTCCCAACTGCCAGGGCTCCAAGGTACACTGTCTCTGAGAATGGAAGCTCCCCCGTCTCATGTTCAGTTCCCTTCTCCTCAGTAGTCTTCTTGATACTTTTTCACCCACCCAGTGATGAAAACATGCTTTTATATAATTCTGTCTGCTTTGTAGAAAAGTCTAACTGACAGCAAAGAGATTACAGTCAATCCTGCACCTCCACTTCTGAATAATTGTGTTGCTGCTGCAGAGAGACCATGGCTTCTCTGATCTGTGTATTGGGAGGGGGGTGATTGGGGTGAAAACCAATAATCTCTTGTGGCAAATTGGCCAAATGCTCCTGAATACCAGAGCTCTATATGTCTTGTGTTGCTTTATCGATCCCATTAAAGTGGATTTCTTTTGGGAATTAAGGCAGCCCTACTTCATTAGGTGGCAGTACTGAATTATCTGCAAGAGTTGAGCCAGGCTACTAAAGCAGGAGGTCTCTGAGATGCAAGGAATGGGAGCAATTTCTGCTTCCCTGTTTAAGGGACACCTAAAACTAGCCCACTTCCACTTAGCGCCCTCCACAGAGACTGAAATTTCCAGCCAGCATGGCCAAAAACCAAGCATCCTCGGAGTGGGAGTCCTGGCACTAGATTCGGGAAGGCTGACCTAAAGCAACCAGCTTCGGGAAGAGGTCAGCACCTGGGAAAGAATCTCCCAACCCTGTTGGCCTCTGTGAAAGCAGCCATCTTTGCTGGCAAGCCATCCAGGCATTACACCCAATTTTCCTCAAGTCGGGGTCAACTCCATGGGGTGATCTCAGCTACCCATGGAAGTGGTTTGCCACTGCCTTCTTCCAGGATGTCAAAAACTTTTCAGCCTTCAGTCCTGGAATTTCTTGTAGGTCCCTAACCATGGACAAGCTAGACTTAGCCCTATTTAGCTTCAGGGAGATCAGCCAAGGTCAGGCAGCTGCTGCCACTGGGTGAAAAATCCAAATAACTGATCTCTGTTGCATTTGCCTCCGGAAGAACCTGAGGGAGGGGTGACCCCCATCAGCAAAGAGCTAAAGGTCTGATTTTTTTCTTCCTGTCTCAGCAGGGGCAGCGTTTGGGGTCTGTGAGCATGTGGGCAGCTAAGGCGGGTCTGGCAAATCACAAAACACCCATTTAGCAGAAGGAAAGTGGCGAGATGGCTCTCCTGTCCCCACCCTAACCCCAGAATGCTGTCTATCACCTCAGCTTATGGTGGCCTTTCTTCTGGGCTGGTGGGCACATTTCCAAAGAACGTACTTGGCTGAAGACCCACCCATCCACCTTTCAACATCCCTGGGCCTATAAAAAGTTACAATGCCCAAAGATGGAGTTTGGGGCTGCAACAAGTTCACATCCAGTTCATTTTTTTTTAATTAAAAGAATCTTTAAAACTATCAAATGCAGCAAGAAGCTTGACATGCGCAAAGGTGGGTGGGCATTACATTGTTTTCCCTAGCCTCTTTTTTCCTAACCCTCCCCAAATTTGGATTGTAAGGGCCTGTCCAAGTTGCATTGAATCGAACTTTAGAAATTCCCAGCAGCTCCCATTCTGAGTCTATTTCATGGCTACAATTTTCTCCCAGTCCTTCCATTATCACTTATTTTCAGACAGATGAGGTACGGGGGGGAGAGGAGCGGGGACTGTTTACCAGCAAACGGCAGCAACATGCAAAATTCCTCCACTTTTCACCTAGAAAAAGTGAAAAGGTGCTTGAGCTGGAAAAAGGGGGTCTGTAGTCAAGATTTAAGCAGACCAACAAAACTCTTCCCCAGGGAACATGCAAGGGGTAATCTATTTAGAGTTAGGGTCTCTCCCAGTAAATGACCAGATTGATGTACAGGGCCAATGAGAGATGTCCACAGGGTGTGGTGAAAAAAGTCAAGATGGTGGCCCCAACGGTGTGGCGGAAGCTCCACCTGCTTTTTTGTGGATCAGGTGGAGCTTTGAACACACTGTTGGGGCTGCCATCTGGCCTTTTTTGGCTACATCTGGAGACACCCAGCCTGCAACTGGAAAATGTGCCTGTTTCTAAATCAGTAGGGAAAGGAGGGCAGAACAAAGCTTTAGAAACAAACTTTTACAGCAAATTGGCGCCCACCACATCTTTTCTTACTGTTTCTTTCAAAGCTTGGGTCTGTATCCAGATACAGTGTACTACAACTCTCATCACACATGCCCCACATGGGCGTTGTAGCCCAACTCACTGAGGAGGCACCAGGTTAGGGGAATCTCTGATTTTGTATCCCAGATATAAGCCATGGAGTGTGACCCTAGTGAGGCTGCCAATCCTCCCCCCACTCTCCTGATTTCCAACCACCTCTCAGCAGTTAGAGTCTTCTTCACGGGACACACACACACACACTTCCTGAAGATGAAGTCAAGGAGGCATTGAAATTTTCCTAATGATAAAAAAACCACAGACTACTCAGGAGAGTTGGAGGATCGTTTCCTTGGCTATTTTCATGAAGATTCTGGATTTGACAGGGATGTTCGAGGTGCATCATCTTTTCTCTCTAAACAGAGATCTAGGCCAACAACAATGACCCATGGAGGTCTCCTTAGTTACCTTGAACCTACAGTCTTATTTTTAAGTCGCTGATTGATTGACTCGTTGGTTACAGGTATTTTTGTACTGCCAGCTCAATCAGATTCCTGCTGGTTTATATAAAGGATAAAACGATTACCAAAATTATCACACCCTGTGAGACTGGCAAACTCAGGAAATCAGAACCACATGGATTTCTGGAAAGTTCTTTATTACTAGTAGGGTAATGTAACAGAACCTTGAAAGTCTGCCAATATAATCTTCCAGCAAAACTTATACCTAGCGTAATTATGGCGGAGTTATTCTGAGTCTCTTTCTCATACTTCTTGTCTCACCTGGACTCCAGATCCTCTTCTGTAATGGCCCTGTTTCCTCCCTTGACTCCTTGTGTTCCCAAGGGCTATTAGGCATTCCCGCACAAAAACACTCACAATTAATACAGGCAGTCATCCACTCAGCTAAGCAGAAGCACCTAACAACTTGGCTGCTGCGTTTTGTACCAACTACAGCTTCCAAACAATTAAGATGAGAACTTCTTGCAAAGCATCCTGAATTGTGTTTTTGCCGCATTAGGCTGAAATAAATTCTACCTGCCTGGACGTAATACAACCACATAGACCTCAGAAGAGCATTCTCTGCAATGCCCTGTCTAATCAGTTGTAATGTATGGACCTATTGTTCCTCTGATAAGCATCAATGGATCAATCAGCAGGGGTTTATTTGCCCCCTTGGTGGGAGAAGTACTGGGGAAAAGGAGCCTGCAAAGTCTCCTCCCATTGGCAACTGCCCTGAAAGGAAACCTCACCTTATCCGTTGCAGCTTCAGTGCCTACTCTATGCAAGAGACATTAGGTGACTCTTAGAGAAGTGGGGCAGGTGGACTTCCTGTGCAGACAGCATCCCCTCCACTCTTTCCTTCCTGTCACTGTTTCTTCCCCACAGTGTAAGCAGCCCCTTTTCCCTCCTCTGGGGAACACTCAAACAACAGGATGGCTTCTTCCCCTCCTGGTGGTCCATGGGCAAGTCTCAGCTAGAGGCCCAGAGAAGTGAACAGGGGGCTGCACCACTCTGGGCAAAGTGCTGTTCTGGGTTGAAACATAGGAGAGCCATGTCAGCCTATAATGGCAAAAAATCGGGAGGAGTCTGGTAGCACCTTTTCCGACCAACAAATTTTATTATGTTGGTCAGAAAAGGTGCTACCAGACCTCTCCTGATCTGGGGGCTGAAAAACATCCTTTGGCACTTGACCTTTCTATTAGAAATATTGAAACTATCTGCCATAGCCCACAGCCATAGAAATACGATGGTCTTGGAGCGCTCTTGGATAGTCCTCGTTCTCCCTTGTCTCTCTTAGATTCCTCTTGCCTTCTTCATCTGCTGGAATCCAGGGATTTGATACAAGCCACTGCCACCTCTTACCTTCCCATCGGTGGTTACAGCAGCAAAGACAGTGGAGGAATAAGGCGCCCAGGCCACGTCACCAACAGCAGAATTCAGGTCATAGATAAACATAGGAGTCCTGCAAACAAAAGATCCAGCAGGTCAGGTGTTGCTGCAAGGTTTTCTCATATCCAGGGGGACAACTTTTGCAGAACCAGAGGACATCCAAATACGCACGACCTGGTGGTAAACCAGGTCAAGCACCAAGGGAAAGCTGGTTATAGAGAGCACAGGGAAAGCAGAAATCCAGAAATCAAAGCAGGCATGTTCAACTCAGCAGAAGGCAAAGGTGTTTTCCAGAAGCTAAACCCGTCAAGAAGAACCACTAAGAACTCTCCTAAAAGGAGAACAAGAAAAAAGGTCTTCAAGCTGGACCTCCTTGAGGCCTTTGGCTTCCCAGGTCATCTGAGAACCCTGCCCCAGACCACCTCCCATTTGTGCACAGCTGGGAGCAGTTCAGCATCCAATGGGAAGATTCAAAAAGGCACTTTTCTGGGTGGGGGTGGCTTCTTTGGCATCCTGTGAATATTGCTCTCGAACACTTTACTTGGTAGCTTTGGGTACCCAAGTACCCACCACTCCTGTAGGAAAATAGGGGCTGACCCACACCCATGGAGGACTCAGGCCCACATGAACTTGAACTACAATTACTATTTGCTGGGGCAAGGCTGTGTGCAGGCTTTGGTTGGAGGGACGTACTTGATGGTGTGATCCCAGATCTTCACTGTCCAGTCTGAGCTGCAGGAAATAAAGACCTTGTTGTGGAAGGGGTTCCAGCTCACAGCATCAACAGCCATATGGTGAGCATGAAAGATGTCTAGGAACTGACTTGAGTAGGACTTTGAGCACTGCAAAAGATAGGATGAAAAGGAACTCAATGTAAGGCATCAGCCACATTTTAATTTTTCTTTGCTTGATGATGATGATGATGATGATCTTGCCTTTTATATATTTTGGCCAACTCAAGGTGGCAAATACTCCTATTTTCCCTACAACAAGCACCCTGTGAGATGGGCTGGGCTATGCTGAGCGAGAGTGACCAGCCCAAAGTCACCCAGCCAGCTTTCATGCCTAAGGGAGACCTAGAACTCACCATCTCCTGGTTTCTAGGCCAGAATCTTAAGCACTATCCCAAACTGGCTCTTTATTTGTTTGATTTCCTCCAAGAGCTCAAGGCAGCATATAGGGGCAACTCCTTCTCCATAACAGCATTGCTGAGAGCTGAGTTGGGCAGAGAGATGGAATGGTTTGACCCCAAGCCACCCAGTGAGCTTCTGTGGCTGAGGGTAGCCTTGAACCTCATGCCGGTCCTAATCTAGCACCTTACCCAATATAACATTCTGCCGCTCCATTTTCTGGATTTGACTTCAATATAAACATGTTGAAATCATATAGTTAGTTGTTTAGGAAAAAAAGACAACCAAATATACAAAATTGCTGTAGCATCAACATTAAACCATTCTACAGATGAAAGAACAGAGGCTAGGAGAAATATTTGGCTACAGCCATCCAGTTCTTCAGAAAGTGGTGGTTGTGGATTTCTCCCCCTCCTCATGCCCAGAAGCCTACACCTCCCATGGTGTATCCTGGGAAAAGACGTAGCTAACTTTAACGAGTTGCCAACAGGTACTACATTTGTCCCACTGTACTCCAAAGGAACCCTTTGGAACTGAATCCACAGTGCTATTTGTAATAAGTAAGTAAATAAAATAAAACAGTGCTACCCGAGATGCTCAGATGGGAGGTACTGGCTATGAGCAGTTTTTTGCTACCTTAAGCTGGTAGCCCAGCTGAGTCTGATCTTGCCTTTGTTAACCAGATCCAGCCTGGATTCCTGTGCTACACTGTGAACTGGGCTGCCTTTAAAGATGGTTTAAAACTTTCAGCTGATTCAGAATGATCCAGAGAGGAGATGGGTGGCTGGGGCTGAATCCCGGGTTGCCAATGCACTTCTAAGCACGAAAACCAAGCAAAAAGCATAACACCCCCAAATAAAAATGCAAACTCCTCTTTCCCTAAATCGCTCTCATAATTGTCAGCTGTTAAGATTTATTACAGCCCAGCATGATTCAGAACAGAAGGCTCCTTCTTCAGGGACACAGAAAATAGCCAAAAGCAAATTTCACATACATGTTTCTTGAGGGCAAATCAAGATGGCTTTTCAATTCTTTCTTAAATCATTGTACCAAGGTTACTAAAAGGGCCACTTCATCCTTCATACCACTGAAGCCATCCAGTGATGCCCTTCTCATTTGTCTTCCTCAAGGGCAATGTGACCTTTCAGGGGCCAAAACTAGCAACAACAATTCACAGGTGCCCATTTACAAAGTTGCAACAGAGGCAGAACTATTTTTAAAGTTGAGAAGCCAAATAAACCTAGTGAGTGTGGTTCTCCAGGCCAAAGAGGGACATCTGGTGTGGGTTGAAGAGGTCAAGCCAGGCAATTCAGTCCTGCAAAGACTATCTCAGCACGCGCACCCTGAAGCTTCTTCTCTTCGCAGGAGCCGCACAATGCTCAAGCAGGTCAACCAAATCCACAGCAGCATTACTCACAGCATCGTTTGGCCTCCTGCCCTCTCTGTTTGGAGGCTGTGAACCTGTAACTTCTCTCTGGTGCCTCTTACCCAGTACTGCTTCTCCTTCCGAGAAGCAATCTTCCACGAGAGACACGAGAGGTGGTTAGATTGACCAAGGCCAGGGAAAGGACCCTTCCCATAGCTGCTGGTACCTCCCATGTAAACTGCAGTGGGCAGAGAGGGAAGGAGGGGTGTCAACCTCTTCCTCTGCAGGCCCTTCAGAAAGCGCAAAAGATTTCTTAATTAAAAGGTTTTTCTTGAACTGTATTTTTGGCCTGCTGGTTTTACTGGTAACTGCTGTTTACATTCATTTTTATAGCACTGTTTATTTTAATGGGTTTGTCATCCTTTCTTAAGTGCCATCTTTAAAAGCAGTGCCAATGTAATTTAAAATACAATTAACACTGTACTTCAACCAAAACCTCCAAACCCAATTCCATATCCTAATCACCAGCAGCCAAATAAATCTCTCCCCCCCGCCCCCTGCCCCCCCAACTGCCTTTCTGGCAGTGAAGAGGCACATAGACCATAGGCAGTTTTGCAAGACAATGGAGAAGAATGGAGATGCTTGTGTTCTCTTTCAGGGAAAGAAAAGAGGCTGCTGCTGGAAGAGAAAAGAAGAGGCTCAGCCCCACAGGCTCACCTGCCTGTACAGTAGCATCAGCTCAGAAAACCCAGGGAGAAAGACCAATCCCCAAAGCTGTAGCTATGAAGGGCAGAAAGTAACCCTGCAAGTAGGCCCACCAGAGAAGGAGCTAATGTCAGTTAAATGTGGGAAAGGATTAAACCAACTCACTCTTCTCTCCAAGAGATTCTCCAATTGCAATTTACAGGGAGTGTCTAGATTGGACAAGAGGGCAGAAGCAATAGTAAGAATACAGTCTGAGACATCTGGAGAAAGCAGAGGAAGGATGGATGAAGGAAGAGGCACATCTGGATTGGCTTACCTGCTGGGGGGAGAAGGAAAACAGAGAGAGATCTGTGGGATCTCAAGTTCTTGAGATGTTTCTCTGCATGCAAAGGAAAATGGTACCCATGGTGGGGCAAGCTGTATCACTGCTTTGACATTATCCCAACACAATGATGGATAGACCATTATTTTTCCCATTTTACAGCTGGAGAACAAAGATTCACACACAGACAGCTCTCGGGAAAGACCCAAGCCAGTCCTTGCAACCAAATTTGTTTCCATTCTGCCCTTGTTCTGCCACCAAGCTGGCCCTTTACACATCCTTGTTTGGACAAGGTTTCTTCATGATGCCACTCTTTTAAGTCTTTCCTTGAGTATGTTACATTATTAAAGATTTCTCTCTCTTTTTGCAAAGCAGAGATTCATAATCAGAATGTGTGGCAGATCAGCAGCTGTTTAATACTGCACGTCTGTTTTAATGCGGAAACCATTCAGCTACTGAGGCAGGCAGCAGATAGGCCTGGTTTAATTAAGATAATGACTTCTGGGCTTCCAAAATGACATTAACTGAGCAACTTTCTGAAATTTGCCTTATTTGCAGAAATTGTTCTGCAGCTAAAAATTAAGGCTTTATCAGGCAGATTGTTGGAAGGCTTTCAAGGCACTCTATTCTCACTTAGTAACAGTTTAGCAAATAAGTTACAGGGAAAGGATGGCTTTGATACATATCCCTTGTTCTTGTAAAGACTTTAAAACTTTTCAGGGCAATGCGTTTGATAAGCTTAGTTTCAGATATTCCATTTTTTTACTTGTTTCCAAACATAGGCACTTGCAGGGGAGGGGGGGGGTAATAAAACATTTGTCATGAGAGCCTGACGCAAATACCGCGACCTTTCTATTTGTGTCAGACGTCCGGATTCAAGAACATCAAGTAAATCGAGAGTGGGATATGCATCGTAATGTCACTAGGCACACTGTCGTTTTTTGTCATTGGAGTTTGCTGCAATCACGACTGCTCGCTGTGTATTGTTGCCATCTATGACAGAGTAGAGGAAGTTTACAAAGGTAAACTATTTACAGAGGTAGTTTACAAAACTAAACTATTAAACACTTATCTAGGCATTCTATAGAAGTGTCTTGTTTTGGTATCATTTACCTGCCTCCACTTTTTTCCTGGGAAACCCTTTGGAAATATCCTAGATTTCTTCCTTGACGTTTTCCCTTAATTCCTAGAAGGCCAAGGAATTGTACTCTCATTAGATCATGGCAGAGTTGCTTTCTGGAAAAGGAAACCATCTTTTTCATGGTGGACACAGGGAATGGATAAGAAATGGATAGATCGCTCTGCTTTTTTAGCAAAGTTTTTTTCCATTGGTTTAATGTGAGAGGGAATATCAATTTTTTATTTTTTTTGCCACTGTAATAAACTAATATGATAGTTAGATGCCATTGAATCAGACCTAATTTCCAGCAATCGTTCAGATAAATGCCCACCTTCTCAATCTGACCCTTGGGCTTCTAAGGACATTCCAGTGGTCTTCTTGATCCCTGTTCATCTTACTCATGATCTTCTACTACTTCTTTGCCAATCATTTTCTTCTAGTTCCTCAGCCACTTGCATCATTGGCTTTGAGGAAATTTGTGAGCTCCTGCCTGCTGATCGTTGCTTCGAGGGAGCAGTCAGTCCTTATTCCATCCAGGACCAAGTAACTAATTTTTCTTACAGTCCATGGGACTTTATGGATCATGGTTTTTAACAGTTTTTATTGTTTTAATCTGTTTTAATGGTTTTTGTTGTTATGATTTTGGTGATTTTTTGCATTTTTTAACTCTGTGAGCCACCCAGAGTTACAGATGTGAGATGGGTGGCTATATAAATTGAACAAATAAAATAAAATTAAAAAATCATCTCATGATCCATACTTTGAAACCATCTATTTCTTTTCTCTCACTCTTTCTCAGAATCTACCTTTCAGAGCCATATGTTACTTCCTTAAACAGTCTGATATTTAAAATGTCCTTATCCTTTATAATTATCTCTAAATTTGTCATGACCTTTCCTAGGATCAATCTCCTCTTTACATCTTCATTTTCATTCTTGAGCTCGAGGAAACAAAATAGTGAATCACCTTCATTTCTTCACCACTACTAAGTTGACTAAACATGCTAGTTGGCATTACTTTTGTCTCCTTAGTATTTAACATTAATCCAGATTCTCCACTTCCCATTTTTCATTGATAATAAGCTCTTCTAAATCTAAGTCAACAAAGTGGTATCATACGATATTTCAAACTGTTGGTGCTTCTCACTCCCTTCCCTATTCTGAACCACCCTCTTTCCTTGTTTCTCCAAACCCAGTTCTAACTTCAGGCTCCTCAGAAGAACAATCAGATGTTCTGGCACATCCATTCGCTTTAACGAGATCCACATTCTGCCACAACCTATGCAGCCAAAGGCCTTGCTGTAATCAATTAAGCAAAGGGAAACCTTACATTTTCCGGCTTTCACCATTCTCCACTCTTAGGTTAACTACAGGGTCTTGAGTCCACTTCCATTGTCTGAAATCAGCCTTCTGGCATTTTTCTCTCCATGTGTGGCTTTATTTTTCTTTGTAAGACTGTAAGCAAAACTTTGCTTATGTAAGCAGTTAGTGCAGTAATTTGCACATTTTCTTGGATTTACCTTCCTTATATACGTAGATCGTTTCCAGTCTGCAGGCCACACAGTCTTGTTCTATATTTATTGAAATAGAGCTGTTAACATTTTAAATGGCTCCTTCCCTGCTGATTTAAACAGTTCAATGGTATTTCATCTGCACCTGGCATTTTCCTATTTGACAGCTGGCCTGTTATCTCTTATATCTTTCTTTCTAGTGGAGTTCATTCTCCAGAGTTCATTCCAGAATATATACCCTCTCTACAAATGTTTCTGCCATTCTATAATCCTGCTTTTAAGGATGTCATTATAGACTTTCAATCTTTTTAAACTTCACTTAACTCTACTAGATATTTTCATGATTATTTTGAGTAATCCTAATTTAGGTGTAATTTTTGTGATTTCCCTAATCTTATTTAAAATATACCTCGTTTTTTTTTCCTTGCCATTTTCCTCAATTTGTTACAGCTTTTGAATGAGACATTCCTGGCCCTTTCTTGTATGATCTAAAGCCTACATAATGCATTGTAAGTCTTATTGCTAAAAGTTGCCATCCTCCATCTTTCCCTGAGTATCATGATAACTTCAAAGCAGTACTTTGAATTTTAGGGAGTTTCTTTTCCCACTTCTGGTCTCATTATAGACTATTGCAATGTGGTCTACATGGGGCTATTCTTGAAGAGTATCTGGAAGCTACAGCTGGTTCAAAAAGCAGCCGCGCGGGCAATTTTGGGTGCCCCAAGGATGGCACATGTAACACCTTTGCTGCGGGAGCTGCATTGGGTGCCAGTTTGCTTCTGGGTTCAATTCAAGGTGTTGGTTATTGCCTTTAAAGCCAGCCCTACCTGGCATGGGACTGGGTTACCTGAGGGACTGTCTCACTCCCATTATAGCGACCTGTCCCACCTGGTCAAGCAGAGGGGGTATGCTGCGGACCTTGTCGACAAAAGAATGTCAACTGGCGGGTCCCAAAAGGAAAGCCTTCTCTGCCATGGCCCCCACCCTATGGAATACCCTCCCCCAGAGGTGAGGCAGCCCCTACTCTCTCGACTTTCTGGAAAGCAGTTAAGACCTGGCTCTGCCAACTTGCATGGGGTGAGAAAAGGGGCAACCAATCCTGGGGGTGGCTAGCACCTTGAAGATGCTCCTGTATGTTAATAACCTTTCTACCAGCAGCACCTTGGAAGATATTATTTACATATGAATATGGTTTTTATTGTATTTTTATTGTATTTTAATTAATATTTATTTTTTTGTTTTTACTGTAAACCACCCAGAGTCACTTCCTAATGAGATGGGTGGTGACCAAATTTGAAATATAAATAAATATAAATAAATTATGTCTCCTATCTTTTCCCATGTTCTTCAGGTTCTTTTTTGCATAAACAAGGGTACTGAATTTGTTCCTTACATTGATCTTATATTCTGAATGTATGTCATCTAGATCAAATCTTGTTTTCTACCATCTTTAATTAAGATTCATCTGTACATTTGATCCCAACAACTCATTTTTTCCCCCCAACAAACTGTATCTGGAAATGTCCTGCTTGACTGGACTGCATTTCTCCATTTTCTATTTCTTATCATATAGTCAATTTGCTTCCGATGCTGCCTATCTGGTAATGTCCAGGTGTAAATACTGTATTTATGTTGCTTGAAACAAATGTTGTCAATGAATAAAGAATTCCCTTCACAAAAATATATTGATTAAACTCATAAATTATTACATTTACCCAATCTATAATTCCAGGTCCCACCATTTCTCCAACTTTTTTATTCCAATCACCCATTATTTCCTTTTAACACTCTTTCAATTTGTCATAGAATTCTTTAACACTCTTTCAATTCTTTGACACTTCTTCAGTTTGTCATAGAATTCCACCATTTCATCTGTAGGAAGCATTATGTGTACCACCGATGTTCAACAAATGTCTCCTAACTCTGATAGACATGATCCTGTAATTTATTAGATTATGGCCAAGCACACTGCACAGGACAAGCTCATCAACATCCTGGACCCGACATCCAAGGGAACATCCAGGCCTTCAAGGCATTCCTAAAGGTTAACAGGGTTGGGGCTAGCTGAATCTCAATACTTTATTGTAATACTGTTTGCCTTATGGCTATTGTCAACTACCAAGAGTCTTTGGATTGTGGTGGGTACAAATCCAACAAATATATAAATAAATAAATAAATAAATAAATAAATAAATAGGCAGGTTGGCCTCATAAATCTGATCTGCCGGGATATTAATCTCTTGGATGGTCAACTGAGAGAGTCCAACTGACACTTTGGGGAAATACTCTTGGGAGAATGGTTCAAGACAGAGTCACAAGGAATACCCCTTTTTGCTCCATTTTTCCCACTAATAAAAGGAAGAAAGAATGAATTATGGGGAGGAGGAAATGTTGGCCCCATTCTGAGGTCTAGGCATAGAGTTTTTTAAAAAAATTATAGCACTTATAACTTAAGAGATCCAGTTTGGTGTAGTGGTTAAGGCATTGGACTAGAAACTGGGAGACTGTGACTTCTAGTCCCACTTTAGGCATGAAGCCAACTGGATGACTTTGGGCCAATCATTCTCTCTCCTAGGAAGAAGGTAATGGCAAGCCACTTCCAAAAATCTTGCCAACAAAACCGCAAGGACCAGTTCAGGCAGTTGCCAGGAATCAAAACTGACGAAGGCACCAACCGCCCCCCACCCCAACAACCCTTATAACTTGCTCCAATCCCAGGACTCTGGATGCCAAAAAACATTTAACAACAACAGCAACAGCAGCAGCAGCAGCAGCAGCAGCAGCAGAAGAAGTAGTAGTAGTAGTAGTAGTAGTAGTAGTAGTAGTAGTAGTTAGCTGAAGGCTTCAATTAGCAATAATGGTCCAAGAATATTTCCAAAACATATAGTCAAAAAATTAAGGAAGGTAAAGATTAGATGTTGCCAGTAAGGATGCCATAAATAAAGGTTAGTGTATTGTACTCTGTCATCATCAGTCGGTCCTGATTATCATTGGGTCTATATATACATAGACATCATCGGTCAGTTCCTAGTCTTAAAAGTACCCCTTCCCAAATCCACCAGTGCAACACATTCACAATTTTTTAGCACTCCCATGGTGGGAGATACTTAGAGAACTCTATTTAGTTGAGGTTCATAGACAACTGAGGCATTTTGTGGGACAGGAAAGGCCATCTGTGCTTCATGACCAGAAAATATAACTAGGTTTTATGAGAAAGCCTCCCTTACCTTGTAGATTTTGCCTTCCTCAGTACCCACAAGGAACAGGTAATCAATCTTCTTGTGAAAATCAAATGAAGTCCCACAGCCTGTTCGGAAAGCCAAGAAAAATATAAATAAGGCAGCAAGATATATGGGGACATATTTCTGCTGGGCTTTTATCAACATTCTGGAACTTTATGGGGACAATTTCCCTAACAGGACCAATTCCCATGGACTAACTGGCCATTGTAAAATAGCTAGAAACAGCTATGGTGTTTTTCCCATGACCAGGGGCATTAGCTGTATCTTTTGTTTAAATAAATAATAAATAAATAAAATTATTTTGATCTAACTGCTAGGAACATCAGATTGCAGGATGCCCAGATTTGCCTGGGACCCAGCTGTTTGCCTGTTACCCTTCTTCCACCACCACATACCAGCAATGTGTAGGAAAATGGTCAAACATACAAAAATGTTGTTGAGCCTTTAGTTATCTTTTTTTCCTTTCATGGGAATCTGTTCAGAGATTCTCTCAAGTGAAAGGAAGGAGAACCTTACATTTCTTGAGCCAGAATTCTTCTTCCATGGGCTACAGGGGCTGCTTCGGCTGATTAAAGGGAGCTGCATCTAGCTAAGTCATTACAGAGACCCAAGAAACCAACCTTTGGCTCATCAGAAGACCTTCCAATCAAGTGAGGGCTCTTCCTTTTCTCACTGCCCACTAGAATCTTCCACCACATGCTTCCATGGGAGTGAGTCTGCTGAGTTTCACAGCACTGACTCCCAAGTAGGCCTGTCTAGAATTACTGCTTTGGTGCAGATAACATATAAAATGAAGAGAAATTCAGACTGTACCAATGGTGAGCAGCTGCAGCCCCTCTGGCCCTTCCATTGTAGCTCCTTCAACCAGTAGCTTGATGATATCTGTATGAACCAGCTCATTCTGTTGGGAGAGGAAAGATCAGAGTCATTGTTGGCAACATGGCATCAACAAGACAGAGCTTTGAAACAGGACATTTTCTTGAGGGATTTAGAAGCAAAGAAGAGGAGGAAAGTGCTGAATGCTTCATGAGGGTGTCCAACAGCTTGTGGAAGCACAGTAATAATGAGAACATTGCCTGTCCTACATGCTCCATTGTGTCCTATTATACATCCATCTGGGTTATTCACAGCTTTGTGGCAGGACTGTGGGTTGCTTCCTTTTGAATTCACTTTGCTCTTTTAACAAAAAGAGGAGGAAAAAGGCTGCTCCTGCCTTTATACTGGATCATCTTCTATGGCAGTGGCCCTATCTGTACTGCCAGGCAGAAGATTCATTTATGTTGTGATCTCCCCTCTTCTCCACTATAAGTGATATACTTTGACTTCTGTACATTGGATGACTTATCTAGATGCACAATACATTTGAGAAGAAAGCTGAGCTGCTTTTCCATGAAATGACCCAGGAGGATTTATAAAACATCCACTCTGATCCAGCACACGTTGGCTTGAAAGTAAATGCTGCTGAATTCGGTGGCTTTTACTTCCATGCAAATCTGTAAATGTGACCAGGATTTTCTTGATAGGACTAGAAGGGAATCAGTGGGTTTCAGCTGTGCCGGAGAATCATTTGGGTCTGGGGTCACAACAAAAGATGAAAGTTTAGACTGCTGGCTTGATGCCAAATGCCAATCCAAAGCGTTTTTATGAGAGCAAAACAACATGGAAAGATTTAATCCTGGACATCCCCAAAGCATTTTTATGGTTTTTACGGATGAGGTCCTTGCCCTCTCCTGCAGAACTCACCCATCCTTGCCTACAAGAACTTTGCGCATATTAAAAGTTCTGCTCCTTTTGGAAGTAGATTTAGAAACCATAAGACCCTGTTACAACTGCATTGGTGAGGCAAATTAAGTATGGCTCTGCCCCCATACGTCTCTGGCAAGGAGAGTCAGGCTGAATCCAAATCAAAGATTAAGTGAGGGGATGATGCAGTTAGGAAATTCCCTGCTCTTTTTAATCTTTCAAACCGCCTTTCCCGATTTAATGATTTCCAGAGGGATGAGATTATTTATTTATTTATTTATTTATGTGTTTTCTATGCCGCTCAATTCTGAAAAAGTTCTAAGTTGCTTACAATAATACAAAAATAAAACTAACAACAACGGTAAACCTCTCTTTCCATTACCACACAAGAAAAACAACAATAATAATCACGATAACTACCTACTGCGGGAAGGGGACCCACCACACGGTCAGTCCCCAAAGAGCTTCTGAAACAGCCAGGCCATGGCTTGCTGAGCTGATGCTGAGCTGGCCTTGGGCGGAGTGCTGCTCCAGCAGAGAGGGGGGCAACAGCGACCTCATTGTGCAAAGGCATCATGGGGTCTATGATATCACTACGGCTTCTGCCAGGCAGTAAAGGATGCACAGTCACAGAATAAATGCAAAAGACTTTGTTCAAACACTGCATATCTGGAGAGTGCCAGGGTTGAAAGAAGATGCGCTCTCAAGATGTAACTTGCTTGGTTTCAGCTCAGCATAATTTGTACAGATGGCTTATGGATCAGTGATGTGTGAACCAAGCCAACTGAGATTCATTGTATTAATAATGATTAAACAAACAATGGCTTAGTGTGCTATGAAGCCAATCAAAAATATAACACTCCTAAAAGGCCACTGTTTCTTTCTTTTTAACAAGACGGCTGTTATAGTCTTGTGTGTAGGCTGAGCTAATGTCTGCGCAGATCTTTCATCCTATGAATTGCTATCTTTCCCTTTGTTGGGCTTTAAAATTCTTTTCCTGAAAAGGATGAATGGGGAAAAACATTACTGGTTCACTCCCTGTGAAAACCTCCAAACAAAGCACCGCTGAGCTCTCTCTTTTCAAGAAAAAAAAGTCCCAATATCTTTATTTTTGGAAACTGCTTCAGGGATTTGAATGGTTTTGCACAATGGGGATTTGGGAAGAAGTTGGGCCTTAAAAGAACAAAGAGCATGTTAGAAAGGCAGAAAGGGGAAGGAGGACATGTATAAAAGCGTGCAACTGGGTAAGTGTCTTCCAAGGATCTGTCAGAAGGTGAAGACTGCTGTAGCGTGAATTGTGAAATGCAGCCAGAGACTCAACTGCAGCTGACAGTACAGACCTATGGAAAAAGTATGCTGCACTTTAGACACGGCTGTAAGTGCAGCTGAAATTCTAAAGTTGTTTTCCTCAATTTGGTACCTTTCCAAGCTGCAGTCTGAAAACATCTAGAGAGAGCCAAGTTGAAGATGAGCACCCCAGCCTCTGGGCAACCTCATCAAATGACTGGATCCTCATCTGGAAAAGTGCCAAGATTTAAGAAGCAGGTCATAGAAAAGGAGATCAGGAGACCCAGCTGGCACTGCCATAGGTGGCAAGGGTCTAGCATGATAAGGGGGAAGGAGGCATCTAATAGAAGCCACAATGATATCAAGCATGACGTCACTTGCCCCCCTTGCTCCCCTGTAGCAATCCATGTTTGGAGGCCAAATGTAGCTTGATTGGTGACCAGGAATTAGTGGTTCCATTTACACAGTGTGCTTAGCTTACTGAATAAACCATAATCAGCTGGATTCACAGAACCATAGGTCTATATCCTAGGACAAGTTCATTCCTAATCTTCCTAAGAGAGTCATGCTTTATGGGCCAGAGTTAGCTCCCACCACTATTCTATAGCCCTCTCCTTGCTTTCAGTGGGATTTACTCCCATGTAAATGCAAATAGGATTGCAATATGAACAAGAAGTATTGCCAAAATGAAAAACAAAAGCATTTGTTTTTAGGCATGCTGAAGTCCTCAATAGAGAAATTAAATCATTTATTGGGAATTGCAACATCTCACGCTGAATCAGTATTAAATTGTCTGGTTCACATGCTAATTTTCCTGCCTGGTTCTATCTTAGCACAGTTGTGGCTACTCAATAAATCATGCATTTGTGCCATTGGCTGCCAGTTCACTTTTGCAGCCACAATAGGGACGCAAGAAGTCATCCATGACACCATTTCTTGAGTCAATAGAAAAGCTACTCAATGCCAACTTAGAGGGAATAAATCCTTACCTTAACCAAGGTCCAGGAGACAATGCGGCCATCCGAAGAGACAGAGAAGAAATTCAAATTATTGTCCATATCATCTTTCTGCCACTTGACCTGGGAAGGAAGGATCAGAGCAGAAACTAATGTTTAAAAAATCTATTATTTAAAAATAACTATGGCTTTCACTGTATTTCTGTATTTGTAGTATGCTCTGCATCAAGGTTTATATTTGAGTCCAAAATTTTTTGCAATTTTACATGTCCACCACATATGGTAAAACGACCCCAGATTATTTGATTTATTAATTAATTATTATTAGATCAGATTATATTATAATTAATTTATTATTTATTATTAATTTAGATATTTAATATTTAAAATAAATATTATTATTTATTGAGGGTTATTTAAGGGACCTCCTCTCCCTGATTTCATCTGCCCATCCCACTAGATCCAGCAGAGTGGGTCTGTTACGGGTTCCACTGTCTAGGGAGCTACATTTGGCAGGCTCTAGGCGGTGGGCCTTTTCTCCTGTGGCACCTGCATTGTGGAATCTTCTTTCCCCAGAGCTGAGGTCGGCCTTGTCACTTCTGAGCTTTTGAAGGTCCCTCAAGACTTGGTTATGCCAGCAGGCCTGGGGACCCCAGGGGATGGATGAATTAGTGAGGTGGCTCCAGTATTATTAACATCTCTCTGCCTATTATTTTCTTTTTCTGTTTTAGTTCTTCTTTTATAGCTTTTAATGTTTTTTAGTAATTATTATATAATGTTCAGCACCTGGCCATGTCTTTGATGCTATAATTGAGCTCTTCTACCTTCTTTTAGCAATAATACAGTCAATTTACAATTCCATCTGGTGATGTCTGTGTATAGAGCCATCATTTTGGTTGTTTGAAGACACTGTTAGCTATGAAGAAATCACTGAGTGGTAGAAATTGATAAGTCAGTCTCCTGCTTCATTTCAATGTCCTAAGCCATACAATTCAACTATATTTTCTTCTTTCAGGTTTCCAACTTTGGCATTCCAGTCACCAACACATGTTGCTTGCATGTTCTGTTGAACTTGATCATAGAAGTCACCAACCTCCTCTTCTGCTTCAGTAGTTGGAGCATAAACATGAATGATCATCATATTAAAGGGTTATCCATGAAGTTTAATCAATATTATTCAGTCATGGATTGCATTGTAGTCAAGTACTGTTCTTGCTATACCATTCCTAACTATATATAAAAAAAAAAGTTCCTTTTATAGTTAGGGAGTTTTTCATGTCCTGAGTAATAAATGGTGTGATCTTCTGACTGAAAGTGGCCTATCCCAGTCCATCTCAGTTCGCTGATGCCTATGATGTCAATTTGTAGTTATTTTACTGTGTTTATCTGTTTTACTATGTTTATTTTACTGTGTTTATTATTAGTTATTTACTGTGTTTATTATTTTTTACTGTGTTGAGCTTTCCCGTGTTCATCCTTCTTATTTTCCATGTTCTCAGTGTAATTCTGTCATTGCAGCTTCAAATTTTCTTTTCCTATGTGGCAACATCAGCAACTAGACATCCTAGCTTCCAGTGTGAATCCTGGCTGACTAAAGACATCTCCATGAACGTGTGGAGAAGAGGACCACTGTGAAGAACGAAGGACTGGCAAGTAGACCAGTCCTTCTAATCTCTCCAGAGGAGAGAATGGGAGATTGCCCACAAGTGCTCTGAACGGTAGCTCCTTGCAAGGAGACCATAAAACAGTGGTCTCCACAGGTTTGAGTGCCAGAAGCCGAGGGAGACAACATCTTTGCTCTCAGTAGCAGCAGAGCCCTTAATAAGGATACTAAGCCAGCTGAACTCCCTTTCTAATCACTTGATAGATATTAGAGATCTTCAAAACAGCTAGTTTAATTTGACACCTGGTGAGCTTTACCTTCTTCTTTGGATTTAAGAAATTTTAAACAGAGACTCAAGAATTTAAAATAATATACAACTGGCAAAAAGCAAAAAAGAATTTTAATTTAAGAAAGTTTTAAACAGACAAGGAGATGAGAGAGATCTGGAATATTGGTTATTTTTGCTGTAAGATTTGAAAAACAAGTATATAATATACTTAAATAATATACTTGTGGGAAATGACTGAAATGGAACTAAATTCATATTAGGAATTGAGGCTTGATGAAGGTTGCAAATGGACACTAGAGGAAACTAAAGGAACAGGCAGAAAAGAGTTAAAATGGCTAAGCTGGCTATCACTTTTTCTTGTCTTAAAGAGTCCTTTGAAAAATGGACTGAGATATCTGTATACTACTAAAACTCTCATGTCTGTTACCTTCAACTAGGTGAAATGCTGTGTCATAGGGCAACGATTTCTGAACCAAGGTACCTCAGATGGGCTAACTTACAGAACTCGTCCAAAATCCAGGACCCATGACTCCTCTGGGATTGAAATTTGGGAAATTTTGGCTGCTTTAGCACTGCTGCATTGCTACAGTCAGCCCAGGTCACATGATCATCATGGGTGTATCACCGACCTCTTTCCCGCCTCCCTCTGTCCCCTGTGCCCAGTCAGCTGGCAGCAAGGCCTGACAGGTGAATGGCGATTGGTTGCTTTGGAAACAAGGCAGAAATCTGAAATCTCTTAACAGCTGTGGGCGTTGAGGGAAGGATGAGGAAGTGACTTAGATGCCTGCTGGCAAAGTAGGGCTGGCTGGGGGACACCGTCCGTCAATGGGTGAGCCCTCTTCCTCCCTTGAGGGAGGGGGCCCTTGGGGACATGCCGGAATGGGGAGCGGGGTTGCACTTTTCCTCACAGTCTGCAGCTCCCTTTGTTCCACCTCCCCTCAGCAAAGTGGCAGGCAGTTCTGCTGTCAGCTGAGGAGGAGGAGGAGGAGGAGGCTTCACCGGGGCTCTCCTGAGGGCTGTGAGGGGAGGGCAACTATTATATATGGGAAGGAAGGAAGGAAGGAAGGAAGGAAGGAAGGAAGGAAGGAAGGAAGG